CTCAACTCTTGTGCAGAGAGGAGTTTCTCCTACCATATGTAGATGGATATCAAATATGCTCACTAAAAGAGCTATACAAATCAGTGTGGTGGATGCCTCCGCGAGAGGAATTGTTGCAAGGGGCTTTCCGCAGGGAGGTGTTTTATCACCACTGCTATGGAACCAAGTTTTAGACACCTCAACTCGGAAATCGGCATCTATACCATCGCATATGCAGATAACCTCACTATGCAGATTTGTGGAAAATTAGAAGGGATTATCTGCCAAAGGATGCAAACAGCCCTAAGAACTATTGAAAAGTAGTGTGAGGACCATGCTCTGTCAGTCAACCCCAGAAAGACAGAAATGGTTCTCTTCACGAGGAAGAGAAAACTGGGGCCAATAAAGGCACCGGCTCTTCTAAACACTACGCTAAACTTTGCATCTGATATGAAGTACCAAGGGGTTACACTCGATGAAAACTAACATGGAATCTTCATATTGAAAGAAGATTAAAAAAGGCGTACATATCCTACGAGCAGTGCCGCAGAAGTGTTAGTAGAACCTATGGAATGAAACCAAAAGTGGTTATGTGGATATACACTGCCATTGTGAGACCAATGTTAGTCTACGGGGCTGTCGTCTGGTGGCCGAAAGTCCAGCATACTAACTAAACAAAAGCTGAGCCAGGTACAAAGAATTGCCTGTCTGGGCATAACTGGAGCTATGCGAACAACACCCAGCATAGGCCAACCATGTTTTGCTTCAAGAACATTGGTTTCAAATCGGATGTAGGATGCGGAAAAGTTAAGAGTCGCCTACGGAATGGGGTTGTCACGCCCCTTCTGCAGGTAGACACTGACAGTATTTCTCCTCGATTTGCGTTCGACAGACTCTACATCGTACTCATTAGGAAACAGGAGGGGACCGCCCGCGAAGATGTAATCAACGTCTTCACAGACGGATCAAAAAGGAAGGTGCAGGATGTGAAATTTATTCTAGATCCTTGCATAGTGCTACCGTGGTAGCACGGGCAAAAACCATTAGAATCTACACACTGATCTTACGTAATCATAAGATAATGACTAGTTCAGTATGCCACCAGACACTGGTCGTGGCCTCATTTTCCAATAGAATATCTGTGTGCTGGGTCAATGAATACGAGCGGTGCAATGGCAATAAAGAAGCTGACAAGCTAGTCAGGAGTGCATCAGGCCTCAGTACTTTTGGACCAGCTGTCTATTTGCTGAAGAGTTATTAGAATACAAGGATACAGTCAAAAAATCCCTGAACATGTTAAGGTCAAATCTTCGTCTAGTGACAGGTATTCAAACTGAACACAGCTGGCTAAGGAAGCACCTTCTCAACATGAGGAAGTATGAAACATCTGTTTGTATGGGTTGTGAACAGGAAGACGAGACAGTACTATGTACATGTGCTATGCGAATGCGCTGCTGTCTCATCAACAAGAGAATTCGTTTTGGGAGAACGTTGGTCTACTATGGCCTATATTAGAGAGATCCCCCTGAGCAACGTCACCACCCTTTTCTCTATAATAGGTTGGTTGGCGACGCAGGTGGATTGATCTCCTAATAGGAGGAAGTACAAGGGGCCCAATGGGGCCTAAGTGCTGTAGCTTTTTAAAGTACCTTCCCTAAAATTCCAGAATTCCAGAAATCCACTACGATATAAATATTGGGTTGATGTATAAGATCGTATGTTTTTTTTAATAAATGAAGTACATGAACTAACAAAAAACGCCTGAAGAAATACGGTGTTATAAAAGTGAAGAACTTACCAAGGCAAATTTGAAGAATTTAAGGAGGTTCCTCGAAATTTGTTCGATAGAGAGCAGAAGAAATGGAATTTTGTTGGGACAAGATCGGGAGTAAAGGATGGATGTGGAATATCCTCCCAACCAACTTCCTGAATAGTAGCTTTTGTGATGTTAGCAGTATGAATGTGGGCGTTATTATGATGCAAAATCAGTCCATGATGTATTCAAAGTTTCTATTATTGAACTGCGGCCTCAAGATGATGGGGTTGGCAATAAATCTCACCAGTGATGGCCACATTCCTCGGAAGCAATAGGTACTTAGTAGATAAAGCCTTCTTTGTGTCACCAGATATACATCAGCTTACGCGGATGGGATGGGTACCAGCATTTGTTCGAGGAGTTGTTTTGGTGTTCTTTTCTGTTTTTGGTGTCAACGGAAAGATACCATTACAATCAGAAACCAAAACGATCGATGTTGTAGACGAACTAAATGTTGACATGCTGATTTTTATTGTTTTTCTCAAAATGCAATGTCGTAGATAATATGGCCAACTGAATTATAACTGATCATTTTCCGAGTTGATTGACGTGAATTATCAAGAATTAATGCGATGAAACGATCTTCATCAATGCCATATGGTCTTCTTCAACGTGGATCATTCATATCAAAATAGCCCTCTTGGAATTGAGAAAACCATTTTCCTGCTGTTCTTTCCTCAATGGTACAATTTGTAAACGGCACATATTTTCTTTATATTTTTTTATAATCATTTAAAAATTGTGGATGTTGTAAACTGTTCTTGCTTTTACCTTTCGTATCGTACCATTGTTTATCAACGTCAAAAGTAAAAATAAATTGAAATATTTGTGGGGGAAGGTATGTAAAATCTGAGTGATTGAAAATGATACTTGTAAAATCTTATAAAATTTATAAGCATAATCTTGTTCATGTTATTATAACAGCAACAAAAATATAAAACAGTAGTAAATAAGGCAGATGTGTTATGAATACTATTAAATGACTTCAATATTTTCTTCTGTTTTTTCTTATACTTAATTATTTTTAATCCCAAACATTTTAGCATTGGAGTAATATTTAAAATTAATGCTAGATACAAAATTAAGCGAAACTCATTTAACTTTTGTTCTATTTTGGTAACAGCCAATTCATAGAAGAGGAGCATAATGTACGTTATTTTTGTATATAGGCACTGAAAGAAGTGAAAAAATTTGCACGGGCCAAGTCCATGGTCAAGGCATTTTGCCAGTAAAATATGATGCAGTCACTAAAATACACAACAGGTGTGAATCTAAAACTGGCACTTCTTTTGTCCTGATTTGTTCTGCTTTAATTATTTTCTGATGGCACCCTTGTAGAAATACTGTTTTATCACAAAATTGTAAACTGAAGGTTTTAAATACAATATGTATACGAAACTCGGTTTGTTCCTAGAAAAGTATTTCAGGAATAGTATGGATATTTACCTACTTTGATGAGTTGGAGCGAGTAGAGGTAAAATGATAAATATTGTAAAGGAGTATATTCGTGATTTTATCATAAATGTCCGACAGAGGCTTAAAAATGCGTTAGATTTGTAAAATATAAAAATCAATAGTTATATTTACAGTAAAATCAATTAAACATATGTTGTATTTAATATTAAATAATGTTGCTAATGGTTCACATTAAAACCATTTATCAGGAAGTCAGTTTTTTGTTTAATTTGAAAAAATAAATGCGTAAGTATTTCAGAAGTGGAAGAAATTTTCAATGTTTTGTTTATATAAAAAGTTACCTATATAAATTAGTAGATAATTTAATTAAAAAGTACAAGTATGGATAGCGAAACTATAATAGAGGATGTCTCAATATTTTTTAGATATGGAAATTGTCCAAAAATCCATATTTTTGGAATTAAAGTCAGACAATATAACTAAAATCTTATTTATATGAATTACACACACCCACAAAAAAAAAGTTGAAAATACCAGAGACTAGACCCACCTCTCCTTATGTATTTTGACGAGCTAAAACCGAATCCGGAGCCAAAATTGCTCTATCACCCTCCAGTTTTTTTTTTAAATCGCGAAAATCCTCCCAAAAATACGGAAAATCGCGTGTTATTGTCTCGGATCTTAACATTCTCTCTTTTTTTTGATCGTACTCTTTTATCTTCAAAAGATCTGTATAGTGGATATCTTTTTCTTTTTCTGCTATCTGGCTCGGATTCCCTATTAAGCATCCAACAAAAATCTGCCATCATATTAACATCCCATCGTCCTTAGTACCGGCGTTCCATTTCCTTAAATTTGAATTTTCTAAACAGGGATTGTATCTGAGGATTCGGTTTTAGCTCGTCAAAATAGATATAAATAGTTTTTCGCGATTTAAAAAACAACTGGAGGGCGATTGAGCAATTTTGACTCCGGATTCGGTTTCGGCACGTCAAAATACATAAGGACAGGTGGGTCTAGTCTCTGGTATTTTCAACTTTTTTTTTTGTGGGTCTATGTTATCATTGGATTATGAAATACACATTAATCGAATAAAAATACATTCGAAAATATGTTTTGACTAAAGTGAAAATATTACTTCATCATTCATATCACATTTTTTGCGATCGTTATCCTTCCATATTAAGTGGATGAGGAAATTCACTTTAATTTGTCAAGGTTATCAATTTTGTGATTTGCAATACAATACCTTAACTTTGACGTGATATTGTTTCTTCGATTTCAGTGCAAGGATTAGAAGTGGATTCGATTGCAGTCGATTGGAGTTCAAAACTATCTATTCGATACTACGTGTACTATGAAATCATATGTTCTGTTCAGGTGTACGTCACGGTGGTTTTTATGAGATACATTTAATCGTAATCAATTGACATGTCAAACATTTCTTATGTGATCAGCTGTCGCCGTAAATGAACAGTTCAATAAGTCAATAATCAAAACTTCCTTCTCAAACACACACTCAGTCGAAACATCTGGAAATGTAGCAGAAATTCCCAACTAAATAATTTAAACCGACTGTCTTATTTATTCACCGTACAGTTATTAATTATTGTTGGATAATACGGGGAATCCTATGTTATTACCCATTTTATTAATAATTGCTTGTCTCATTATCTGATATAACAAAAACGTATATAACGAGATATTAGGAGGCAATTTGCCCATCGATAACTATTCATTTCCATACATGGCACATGGGCGAATAAATGATTCACAAGATTTAAATTACCTGCTATTTTTCAACTGTTGAACGTGAGGTGGTACATCGTAAATTGTTCCATTCGAACTGATTTTGCGCCATACGGCTCCGCTATGGGCGTCCGGCAAGTCCACTTGACCTAAAATATATAAAAAATGCAATTTATTTATTTATTTAATTGCAAAAATCACTCATGTGATTATATTTTAAGAATATAAGGAATAGCAATGTCTTAATGTCATAATATGCTATATGAATTTTGTTTAGAATTTCGAGAATTGAAATATGGAATAATATACAAGGTGTTCCATTAAAGATAAAGCAACTTTGTTTCGTTAAGACATTTTAATTGATCCTGTAGGTATACCTAATTTTTCTTTATTGTAATCGATTTTAAAAAACCCTTAACCGTTTGTGTCTTATAATTTCAGTTATCTTACTTTAGAAGATCGTTTCCATACATATTAGCGACCCTGTATATTCAGATTCCCCAGAACTTTTTACATGACATGTACATATACATTGTATATTTACGATTCGTTCTCTATCTTAATAGCAAAGTTAATAATTAACAATTAACAGAGAATTATGGATTACCTTATTCATAAAGTAGGTTAATTATTTTTTAAAAGAAAATATATTTTAGTTTGAACCAGTTTTAAATACATATACAATCAGATCAACAATTGTTTATTACGAATAAGAAATAACTTCAAATTATGCCACATAGCCTTAATGTTAATGAGGTTACAGCTTTTGCCAAACAATAACTGCGGTTATCCGAAATTCCGTTTTTTTTTAAGTAAAAATAATTTTAATGTAATAATAATTTAATTTGAAGAACGGTATTGCAATACTTTTTATATCGTATCTATGACTGGGCAGCAGATATAAATAATTTACTTTGTTCATAATTTGGTCGACATCGATCTCACTTGTTTTTTAAGTATTTGCCTACTGTTTACTTTATTGAATGCTTTAGTCTGGTCAAATACGTGTTGTTATCTTCTGTGGCGACAGGAATAAAAATTGGGGCGACGGCGACGGTTTACTTGGAAATAAAGCCAATAACTTAAAGGATTAATTGCCATGATTAGTACTAAATTCTAAAATTAATCCTTATTTTAAAAATAGTATAATAAAATTTGGCTCACATATTTTCTTGGTTTCAAGTTATAGTTTATCAAAATCGCTGCTGAATTTTACATAATATTTCTGTGTTGTTACTATGATTTACTATGATTACTACTAAATTATAAAGTTACTCTTATTTTTAAAATAAAATTATAAAATTTAGTGCATTGCATATATTTGTTTCAAATCCTTTTCTAAAAATTTCCGCTAAATTTCATTTGTTAGATTAGATAAGTGAGAAAATACTATTACACCAAAGCAGATAAAGCAGCTAAAATTTGAGACAGCCTGTAGTGTTCATCTTAAATTATATGAAACGTCTGATCGTGAGTGACTTCAAGAGGATTTTATCTTAAAATAGGTACAAACACTCAGATAGCAGAGAATACAACACAATGGTAGATTTATTTTTAGCTATTGCCTATGTATTCTGGACCAAGTTTCATATAAACGATAAAAGCAAATGGTGATCAAATGGCGACGAATGGTATCAAATGTAATTATTTGTGTATGATTAATTTACACCTAGAATAACATCATATTTCACAATATATCGTTAACAATCCTATAGTAAATGATAAAATATTTGTCGTTTGTTTGCAGTGATAAAATATTTTAGAAAATTTAGAACCCGAGGGAATGTTTTCACATATTTTGATCCATAAGTTTAAGCACCGTGTATATAAATAGTTTCAATTTACCGACAGAAAATAAAAACTTGGATACTAAAACCGTTGTCACACTTAAAAAAATTATATATCAGTTCTGTCACTATGCGAATGTTTTGTCTATTGAATATTTAAAAAAAAATAAATTATTTAGCCTCAGTGACAATATAATATTTGTACAATAAAACAGGCCATACCATACAAATAATTTAATACAAAACAATATGTAATCAAGGTAAGCTGTACTTATTTGTTTTTTTTTCTTCTTGATTAAATATACATATACCTATATTCAAATATATTGCCCCTTCTCGCTTTGGATCCAATGCACAAAAGTGCGTCAGAAATGTCTTCTTTTAATTTCATTACTTTTCCTCCGCTCCTGTGGTTTATTTTTTTAATCTTTCCACTGGCAAATTTACTGCGGACGACCATGAAGATCAGTAGATTCATATCGTAATGATCGGACGATATTGTGAAACATTTCAATCTTATTACCTACCTAGTTTAGTATTAGACAATGTAGTTATTTATATCTGTATTTGATTTACACTTTACGAAAGCTTTGCTAAAGTAAAATAGTATTTAACTAATAATATTGTGCGAAACAACTACTCGACCCCCTATTTAACACTGGATTACACACATTACATGTATTTATTTGTGTCATGAATGTGGGTGATATGTAACCCATAAAGAGTGTTATATTTAATTGTCACAACTACTCTGCGGATTAAAGATTGTAGTATAACAACCCTAGGTTCGACAAAAAATAAGTAAACGTAGTTGTGGCCAAAAATATGTGATCGTCATAAGGAATCCCTACGTTGTGTTTTTTTTTTATTGACCGGAAGGCGCTGGCTACTAACTTTGTGGAGGGGATGTATGGTTTTATTATATAAAAACAAAAGCAGAATAAATACACCTAACTTTTATTTACATACAACAGTCTTCAAATTAAACCTGGGACAAATAAAAAGTACAACAAACACATAAACAACCATTTAACATAAAATGAGAGTGCCAGGCTCACCCAGAGCTCCTGCGGGGAAAGAGCATGGCAGAGAAACCCACGATCGTTGCTCTTACCACCCAAATATGAATGCAAAACAACCGCTAACCAAAGACATAAATTAAGAACCTTTGCTAATGATAATTAAGACTGAACTTATTTAATTTCTCACTAAATGTCATCTCACTCAAATTAGACATACACACTTCCAAGTAAAACTGAAGAGGTTAGAATAATAATAATAACAACAACAATAATAACAACAATAACAATAATAATAATAATAATAATAGGTAAGGTACTGGAGTCCCATACGGGAGGCAATCCAGCTATAGTTGAGATTTCAGAGGAACAACAACAACAATAATAATAATAGGTAAGGTACTGGTGTCCCATACGGGAGGCAATCCAGCTATGAGTTGAGATTTCGGAGAACAACAACAATAATAATAATCAAGGGCGAAAATGTTAGTAAATTCAACAAAGCTCTTATATGCGTATGACATAAAGTGAGAACAAGAAATCAAAGAACAAGAGAAACTTAGAAAAATATACGCCCCTGAGCGTAAGACAATGAGGGCTAAACATACACAGAATTATTATCATGAAACATCTATAACCATCACAATCATAAGATTACATAGAACAATTAACAACAAAGTACTTAAAGAATATTACCTGCTAACTAATACCGGTTACACTTAATTTTACACTACTTCTATATTTTTCACACTACACTGATCGTCTTATTTTTCACTCCGCGCTGTTCTCACTTCAAGTGCCTATCTTGAACTATTTAGGCTTCCTTCCAGAATTCCCTACCTAAGCGCTTGTTTTTTTGTGTTTCTTTCCAGCGACCGTTAATATTACTTTTTAATTATTGTGCAACACTCATGTAACAGGTGACGTCGAAGTTGATAAGATAAGTACGGTTTTGCACAAGATTCGTCTTTAGTTCGACGATACATAGTATCATTAGTTAAAAAAATTATTTCTCCTAATGCGACACTAGTCTAGCTTTCACAGTATACTACAGATTTGTGCAAGTGGGCATTGAATTATACATTCTAGGTTGTAGGTCGCTCACACTTGAAATGATGGAGTCTAAATACAAAAATATAATATTTAAATGTACATAAATTTAAATTTCAATGTATTTTATATATTTACTACCACTTTGCAAAATAATGGTTTTCCTTTTTAACAGATTTGTTAGATATTTGTATCTTTGTTTTTGCGAGTTTTGGTTATTAGTTTGCCACACGCAGTTTATGACAACAAATATATCTAAAAAAAGTGATACCGGTTGTGACACGCATTCCTATATATTAATGCACTGGCGCCACTTTATCTTTACACAGGGTTATTATTTTAGTATCAACTCAATCAGAGATAGTCGGCAATTTCTGATAGGTTTAACGTTTCAACAGATAACTGAGCCGTCGATATTAGTATAAATTAAGGATTGCTAGATCGATAATAAATTCCAGAGAAAACTTTAAGCTTAGCTGTCGAAAACTATTCAAAATATCTCAGAATAATGTATTATTAATTCGCTGATATAAAAAGATTATCGAGTGGTGCAATTTAGAGTCAAAGTCTCCTCTGTTCACGATTTTTTGAGAAATACTGAAGAATGAATATATAAATATAATACGCAGAGTTGATGGAAGAAATAAAAAAATATATTAACCTTATTGACTTACTGCATTCATTGGAAAAGCCAAGAATTCTATCATCGACAAAGTTTTTTAATTTTTTCAGTCACATTACAACAATGAATAAATTAAGTGGTTTTATGCTGAAATTTGTTCATTTACATTAATTTCTACATATTCCACTGGGGGGTTTCAATATTTTGCAAATAATTTCAAAATCTTTTTGCCCTTTGATTTCGTGCGAAGGTAGTAACACCCCTTAAATGAATAAATTATCTTTCGATACTAAACAATTATTATGATTTAAATTATTTAAATACTTTGCCTATCCAAATGGGGTTTATGTTATAGATTCTTTCCTAGAAAAAACAGTAGAAAATTTTATTTAATACGCCGCATCGGAAACTGGACCACCCTGTATATATTTTAATTTTGCATTTGCTTGCCGCTAAAAGAAATTTTTGTATATTCCTAAAATGTTTCTGTTCGTTAAAGTACTTAAATATTGTTGGCGATGATATATATTATTATCTAATTACATATAGGTACATATTAAAAACAATAATATGTAAAAGGACATTATTATATCTGAGGCGTTTATTAAATATTGCACTTGTCTATCTTTGTTTAATTTGTTCGTTATCTACATACAGAATTAGATATAATCTGTAAAAAATAATTTTTTAAGAAATATTTATCATTATGAAATCTAAACAATTGTATTTTCACTAAACTAGCTTTAGAGTTGTAGATACCCTACTTTTATATTTCTCGTTGTTAGTAAGTAGTAAGTACAGAAATATTTATATCTAGAATCACATTTAACTTTGTGATTAATTAGATCAACAGAAATATTAAGNTGCATTCATTGGAAAAGCCAAGAATTCTATCATCGACAATGTTTTTTAATTTTTTCAGTCACATTACAACAATGAATAAATTAAGTGGTTTTATGATTTTAATGGTTACTTACAATTTGTAAAAAAATAGTTTTTTAAAATGAAATTGTAGTATTACACCAGTAGTATTACTAGTTTGTTTAAGTTATTGATGTATATTTCCTTACACGAAATTTAAAGCAAAATATTGAAAATTGTGTAAAAGATTCAATACTACTGTACTAATAATTAAAATTAATGCTTACAAGCTTCAATGGTTTAGTTACCGACATATTTACAATGAACAGGATGTAGAAATAACGAAATAATAATATAAATAACAATAATAAAGTCCCTCCAGAAATATTTTTTTACGGTATGGTCATTTCTCCATCACTGTTAAGTAAAATTAATAAGTTTCTTTTAAGGGGTAATACCGCCTTGTAATTTTTTCCCTTTTTTATTATCTTAAAAGCTCCCAAAAGTATCCTAGACTGCTACCCCAAAGGTTATAGCGTAAGGGAAAAAAAAATAATTAAACCAAAAAGTCGAATTTATGACTGTAATTAAGACGTTGTTTTGTAGTTGATATGTGAGGTGGGTACATCTTCAAACTAACGTATTTTTTTTTAAATCAATATTTCGACAAAATTTCAATATTTTGCAAATAATTACAAAATCTTTTTGACCTTTGATTTCGTGCAAAGGTAGTAACACCCCTTAAATGAATAAATTATCTTTCGATACTTTGCCTATCCAAATCGGGTTTATGTTATAGATTCTTTCTTAGAAAAAACAGTAGAAAATTTTATTTATTACGTCGCATCGGAAACTGGACCACCCTGTATATATTTTAATCTTGCATTTGCTTGTTGCTAAAAGAAATTTTTGTATATTCCTAAAATGTTTCTGTTCGTTAAAGTACTTAAATATTGTTGGCGATGATATATATTATTATCTAATTACATATAGGTACATATTAAAAACAATAATATGTAAAAGGAAATTATTATCTGAGGCGTTTATTAAATATTGCACTTGTCTATCTTTGTTTAATTTGTTCGTTATCTACATACAGAATTAGATATAATCTGTAAAAAATAATTTTTTAAGAAATATTTATCATTATGAAATCTAAACAATTGTATTTTCACTAAACTAGCTTTAGAGTTGTAGATGCTCCACTTTTATATTTCTTGTTGTTAGTAAGTAGTAAGTACAGAAATATTTATATCCAGAATCACATTTAACTTTGTGATGCTGTATCAATAGAAAGATTAAGGCTTTAAAGAAGATTCAGTTCGTAATTCTTACGAACATTAGGAATGGTAATATGGATTGTTTGGAATTATAAATATAAAATACATGCTTCTGAATCAACTGATCAACTGTAATAAAGTGAATAATTGCACGTGTTACGTTGTGCCATATATTCTGTCAACAAAGTATCCGGAATTTGTCAATAAAACTCAATATATTCAATTTCATCAAAATGTATTTTGCCTCCTTCAAAATAGGCTCCATTTGGAGCAGATAATACTCTTTGTTGACTGTTTCTCCATCGGGAAGGAATTATGTGTGGACCACCAGGATAGTCAAAGAAGACAATCAACGTGACTTTGGTCAACATTGACGTGTTTTTTTTTGGTTTCGGTTCATTAGAAAAGTGCCATTTCGAAGCTCGTTGGTTCGTTTTCAAACTCGTAAACCCATGTTTCGTCATCTGTTATGATGCCTTGCATGAATTTAGAGTCCGAAATAGCCCATAGTAAAAATGGGCACACTTTAGATGGTCTAATAAAATTAGCAGTAAACCAACTACTTGACAGATCGCGCTCAAACTTCGCGCGAGTAGAGTGCTAACTATTCATCAAAAAATAAATTTAAATTTACTTTATGCGGAATTTTTAAATGACAAATACCGAATACTTTTTTGTCAGAATGTAAAGTTTTTCTAATACTTTTCAATTATTAATAACAGCTAAAGAAGAGTATTTATTTTTTCAATCTTACCTGCAAAAGCTTCACAGAAAAGCCTTAACTTTTGGCCTATGGCTACATCCGTATCTTTGGAAATATAAGTTATCTTTGGGTCGTCAGGCGCTTTTTCTGAAAAGAAAATAAAATGAGAAACTGTACGAACTAGAAATTTAAAGGATCTATTTTAAATTAAATATTTTATAAAAAGAAATTAATGCTAGGCATTTATTTAATTATGCTATTAAAATGTTGTAAATACATGTTCCACGAAATAAGTAATAATTTTTATAATTCGAATGTGAGATTTCCAAGAATTTTACAGGTACAATATACACATATTTCATTTCCGTTAAAACATATTCAGCTGTAATTTGCAAGTAATTTGAAATTTCCTTTTAATTAAAGATAAAGCTTTATTTTGTGTACATATAAAACTTTAACTAAATCCTAAATTTAAGAAAAATTTCCATAAAACTCGATAATAAATTAAGCAGAAAGTTACTTCCATATTGCATGAACAACTGAGAATAATGAAAATAATTTAAACAGAATACGTTATTGACTGGAAGGAAAAAATTAAAGATTAATGAAACCAATCTTTGCACCAACAGAATCGGTCAGGGGTTGTTATTTTTGTGGAACTAGAAGAAGTTCAAATGTTTTTGTCGGTGTATTTGCAGAATAAAGTCTTACCAAATACGTGTTAATAAAAATTTCAGTTTGCTCCATAGTAATATTTACATACTGTATTTACATTGTACATATATATCATATATATATTTAATTTTGAGGACTATAAACGAGGTGGAAACTAATATGCATTTTGGCAATTTTACCTCTTTTTTCGTATATCTTGATGTTATGACGAATTTACAAAGTTACCCTGCATATTATTTACGTTTACGTCAGTTGTTAGCTATCGGCTATATGACAAAGTTGCAATTCAAAACGCTCCCTTTATTACAAATATTAAAAGAGCGAATGAGATATTTCAAAATTGCCAGTCATTCTAAGGGCGTGACAAAGTAATGAGGATTGATTTTTACGTTCTGTTATAATCTATGATTCATAGATATGTAGCACTAATTTGTACCTAATTGTGCATATGAAATGGACAAATTTGAGCTTTGGATGGATTCACTGTATAAACTCTAGTCTTTCTATAAGTGTCTTTAAAATTTAATGTTACTGGCAGAAGTGGGAAAGTTAATTGAAACAATATTAATAACAGGTCATTAATGTCTTTCAATTAATTTTAGCACATATGTTCTGTATTTCAAAAATTATTCGTTGAAAAAAGTTTGTATAAGTAAAAAAAGTATCTAGTAGCTTTTTTCGTTGATTAAAATACTTCCATATCTCATTATCCACAGTATTTCAGAAAGTACCATATGAATATGAACGTCACCGGAACCCCCTGACAGTATTATCAATTTTGAACAATCTAGTAAATCTCCATTTTCGGCAAACTTTTAAAAGTGTCTACTTTTGAAAATGTCCAGCTGTTAAATTAACAAAACCAATTATAATGAAGATATCCCCAAAATTCGATAAACACCGCCTTTTGAAAAATTCTTGTAATTTTACATCTCATTAGCGAAGTTAAATTGTTACTTCAAATATGTAGGTACTTAGATTTTTCCACTACTTGTAAGTATAATTTTATAAATGCTACAATTATCAAAGATATATGTAGATCATTAGTATTCAAAATTCCAAACGGTAAAGAGGCTTTGCTTTCATAGGTTTTGAGTCAGAATATGTTCAACAGCCTTTTTAACAAATATCATCCCGCTAAAAAGAAACGTTTGTCTCTTAAATACAAAATATATTATTACTATGTAAAACCAAAAATTCAGTACCAGTATTAGCAAATTGGTTGAAAAGATTGGTGTTAAAAAGATTAAAGATAACAAAATTATAAAAAACAAAGCTGGTTGAAGGTTTCAATCCATACGAGAAGAGGAAATTTCCAAAAACTGAAGCATTAACGATCGACCATAGCTTGCAGGTTATTATGTAAAGCTAGAAATAAACTAATCTCCATATTTGGAAATTTAATAAAATAAATAGCTTTGGAAGTAACCGAAAATCAAAAAATGATGACACAAAAATTCAGTCAGACACAACATAAGACTTTAAAAATGTCCAGTCTAGACTTCGATGAAGAAGACACAATTATACTGGCTTAGCTTTTTCCTGTATTATATGGTGTAAATCTAGAAAATCTACTGATTGTAATAATAAAATATAGGAATATGTTATTACTACAGTTTACAAACTTAAAAAAAAAATGTATTTCAGTTTCTACAAGTGGATATGGTTGCTATTAGTAAAACAAAGGATATAATGCGTAATTGAAAAAATAAAAGACAATCTGGATTTACGTATGGAAGGAAATAAAAAATGACCTATTTCAGTGTTTGTTTCGAATATCTCGAAGTCTACAACTGATAATAAGTAATTAAAATCGTAATATTCTATAAAATGTTCCTATTCAAATAATATTACATATGAGTAAGCGGATACCAATGCTGATTGATGATGATGTAGATTTTGAAATAATTCCCCATAATTCTATATTTTTTATTAAACATTATTTATCCTGCAGCTTTGCAATTTTAAGTACATCAAATGCATAATTTTATGAATAGTGGGAATTAATAATTTATTTCTTATGTCAAAAGCCATCCTGCAATCCGCCATAACAAATTAATGCCAAATTAATGAAATAGTTACCTCCCGCCTTCCCCAAGGATTACACGTGTTGTATGTACTGATATATGATAGATCAAAAGGCAGGTTCCGACTAACTGCACGGGTTTAATAAACAATCATTATATCAAGCTACAACCACGCTCTATATCGAGTGTTCCAGGAACGGATTGTACATTGCAAGTTTGCTCTTCTCTAGTGCAGCATCAATATTCGTCCTGACGCAAATATGGGTCGAATATATTTATTACCTACTTTTTATATATTTGCATATGTAGTTTTCAATTTTTTAAACTTTTTACTCTGTGCGTTCCAAAGTAAACAGGACTTTTTAAAAATAAGAACAACAAAATGTTTTTTGGCAAAACCGATTTATTTTATTGCAAGTAGTCCCATTCAATATAGCAATTTGCACGGACTAAACCTATGTCGAATGAGTGTTTTAGATAGTCGGCCTGGATGTCCTTCAGGATGTCAGTACAAGTCTTTTGAATAGCTTCTACGTCCACAAAACGCTTTCCTTTCATCGGCAAATGCATTTTTCTGAAAGGATAAAAGTCGTACGGTGCCAAATCAGGTGAATACGGAGAGTGGTTGACAGTTAAAATGCGATTTTTTAGTCAAAAAATTGGTCACAAGTGTCGATCGATAAGATGGCGCATTATCGTGCAACAAACGCCAACTTCCTTCTGCGAGATATGCTGGCAGAATACGATGCACCAAACGCTTCAAAACGCCGAGATAGAGTTGTGCATTACGGTTTGATAAGGCGGAAGGAACTCTTTGTGTACCATGCCCTTGGAATCGTAAAAATAAATCAACATTTTCTTCACTTTCAACTTGTCCAAATGCGATTTTTTGGGGTTTGACTCGTCTGGCGTCTTTCATTCGGCACTTTGACGCATTGATTCTGGAAGATATTGAAAACACCACATTTCATCATCAGTCACAATGTTGTAAAGGAAGTTTTTGTTCGTTTTGACCTCTTTGATGATATCCTTCGAATGTTGAATTCTGAGCAATGTTTGGTCGTCAGCCAATTTGTGCAGAACAAACATGCGCACACTTTTCGGTAACCCAAATGTTCGGCCAAAATGAGATAAATTGATTTTTTTGAAATGCTCAATTCCAATTATATGAATTTCAATGAACAATTTTAGCTGATCTTCGATGAATTCACGCAGTTTTGATGGAATCTGCGATGATTACGGCTTTCGGTTGGTCAAAATGTATGTTGCTCATCATTTGTGTTTCCCACGATCGTTTTTAAACCGTATATAGCACTTACGAACTCTGCTAAGGCATAATCATCACCATAAACTTGGTTCATCAATTGAAACGTTCCGGAAAAAGTGTTATCAAGTTTAAAATACATAATATTGTCGCTTCAGACGCAACAACTTCACTTCTATTCGTCTAAATGTCATGAAACTTTGGCTTTGACAGTGAAGGATCTACCTTTCCGAGGCATATAATTGAAAATAGATGGACTCGCTGGAAATATCCATTTTTGAAAAGTCCTTTGAAACACAACTTGTATATTAAAAATAATGTGACCTATTGTAATCTTAGATTAAATTATTAAATTAAATCTAGGATTAAAATATTATTGACATTAAAGTTAAAGGGAATAAAGTGTCTTCAAATATTAACAGAAAAAAAAATAGTCCACAGCGGGCAGAAGTTTTATGAATTTGAGTATTTGAGTATTTTTCTTCAATGTAAGAATATACTGTTTAATTTTTTCTGCACTAACTTTTTTTAAGGGAGGATATTTTTTAAATGAGCAGGCAAATATTACTATTTACACCTGTTGAATAATATACAGAAATAAATAAATTAATGTTAATATTTCGAAAAAAATTGACAATTTTTTTTCGACTTTAAAATATATAATTAATTAATTTATTAGCCTTCCTATAAAAAAATTGTCATTGTAGAATTACTTGCAGAGTCATACATTTAGGTGAGGCAATTTGTCTAGTATTTTTTTAACCATTTAGAATTTACGGATATACTTTCTAAAATAATTGTTACGTAATTCGTGTTTCGCCTTAAGATTAAAATTATTGTATCTATGAAATATTATTATTATTATGTCGTGTCAACATTTGCTGTTTATATACCTATTTGGTGATATGCTTTATTTTTGTCACAAAACAAATAAGTATACTTACGTTTCATTCAGTCATATTCAACAACTGCTATCAGGGGTTAACAAATAACCTGTTATCTGGTTTGAACATGTTTAATAATTAAATTTAACAACAAATAAATGCTATTTGCCATTCAATCTTTGTCACAATAAAGTTTGGACAGTTCAAACAACTTGTTTGTTTTAGATTTTATTTAACCTCTGTTGAAAATTGCTATCAAGTCTTAATTATATGTTAAGGAAATGGTGTAGTGTAACA